AGCCTTCCTGCTCCTCTGATGCTGCTTGGCCTGCTGTGTTCATCCAGCTCTACACCTTGTTATCATTGATAGATGCTGCCTGATTTGAGGTTTTTCAGCTTTTTCTTTTTCTCTTTGGTCATATTTCTAGCACCAACAGAATTTTGCTTTTTTTTTCCTTTGACTGACATTCTTTATTCACTTAATGTATGGCCCAGGACAGCGGGGAGAGCTCTTCTATTTTCATTGGAAATAATGTAGAGTATGAAAGGCTGCACTCTCATGAGAGAGGCTCAGTATAAGAGCCCAAACACCGCTCCTCTGACAGTGCAGTACTCCCTCAGTACCGACCTTCTGAAGGGTCGGCGATCCCTCAGTACTGACCTTCTGGTGGGTTGATGCGCCCTCAGTACTGACCCACCCGTGGGGCGGCGCTCCCCCAGTTCTGATAGTGATGCACTCCCTTGGTGGTGACCTTCTGAACGGGATGGCACGATCCTGGTGCTGAGTCCCTGGTAGTGCAGTCATTCCTCATTACTAAATTCTCACAAAGCAACATTGCCCAATGGTTTAAACAGTCTAATGCTGTGGCATACAGTTCAGGAAAAGTCATATTCTATGCAGACATTGTGTGAGTGCTTTGCTTTTCATGAAAAGAAGTTTCAACCATTCTGTCCAGCCTTTCCATAACTAATGTAGGGGATCATTTAACTTCCATTTACCTTTTGGATTCTGGAGTCCTTGCATGTTGGTTTTCAGTGTGCATGAAGTTAATAATTAACTCAACGGTAGCCATTTTGATTTCTTTCAGAACAGTTTGTGGAAACTTCTTTGGCAGCTTTGATAGGTCTTTGTTTACTGTAGGATATTTAACAACTTAGTAAGGTAAACCATTGTGCTTGAAGATCTGGTTGGAATTTATACACTTTAGTTAAGCTATGAAGGGTCTAGGCCCGAAACGTCAGCCTCTCTGCTCCTATGATGCTGCTTGGCCTGCTGTGTTCATCCAGCCCTGCACCTTGTTGTCTCGGATTCTCCAGCATCTGCAGTTCCTACTATCTCTACTTCATTTTTATTGTCCATTTTACTTTGTTTCTATGACAATTGTGTGAAGTTCTTCGATGGGGACTGTTAGACAGGCAGTGATCCTGAGGACAGGAAAATATAGTAAAACTAGAATACCTTCCAGTGAGGAGTTAGTGAGTCCCACACCAAAAGTGTTGGGATAAAACACTGAAGAAGTTACTTGAAGCTGAATATGTTTAAACCCAGGTGTATGTCGGCTTCAGTAAGAAGCCATCAGCATTTTTAGTCCAGGAGTTAAAGTCACTGTTACCTTAAGCCTACCAAATTGGTGAATGTTTTTCCTCGGTGTAGCATGAGTACTGTACCTGTGTGATTTTGGATACTGTGCAAGGATTGGATTTTTGGAATTTGTAAAGCAGTGTTTTGGCTTCAGTTATGGCTTTACAGTGTATTCAGTCGTCTTCAAATAGTTGGTTTTAGCTTTTATAATCTTCATTTTTTTTGTTAAGAAACCTCTGTTGTTAAAAGAAATCTGTAACATTACAAGCTTATATTCCAGACATTAAAACCAAAACAAAGAAAAATACGAGCTATCAAGCAGGATTTCAGTCCGGCATCTGACTTGCCCAGTAATACTGTCAGTTCAGATCATAACACTCTTCACACCTTACAAAAGTGAGTGCTTACTTGATGTGACCTAACTGTGCAATTCCTGTTTTATTTTAATCCAGCGATCGACACCGAATTGACAGGTTTGCATTCCTTCGGCTCCCCAACTGCACAACTGAGGTAAGGAGTTCTCTGATGATACAACGTGGAGAGACTAGAAAAGGAGTAACTTGTTCACTTTATAATAGAGATGGTTAAGGGGGGCTTTACCAGAACACTGGTCAAGATAAGAGGTTTCACTTTGAAGGAGGGACTGGAAAAACAAGGAGCCTTTTTATATCAGGGAAGGCTAAAGGAAATGTGAACAGAGGTATTAAAAATCATGAGGGGATTTTGCTAATACGATGTGGAACTGGAGGAACACAGGTCAGACAGCATCAGAGGAGCAGGAGAGTCATCATTTTGGGTCGGGACCCTTCGTCAGAACTGGGGAGGGGGAAAGGAGCTGGGAAATAAATAGAGGGAGGAGGGGTGGGGCTGGGGTAAGGTAGGTGGGATGGTGATAGATAGATGCAGGTATGATTGGTCAGTGGAAAGGGTTGGACAGATAGGTGGGGAAGAAGATGGACACGTTGTGTCAGGTAAAGGATGCAGGGATGAGAGGGAGGGTTGGACATGGGATGAGGTTGGGGTTGGGAAGATTTTGAAACCGGTGAATTCTATGTTTAGGTCATCGGGCTGTAGGCTCCTGAGGTGGAATATGAGCTGTTGCTCCTCCAGTTTGCATGTGGCATCATTGTGGCACTGGAGGAGGCCCAGGATGGACACGTCACACAGGGAGTGGGAGGGGGAATTAAAATGGTTGGCAACTGGAAGGTGTATTGATTATAGCGTACAGAATGCAGATGGTTCGTGAATCGGTCACCGAGTCTGCACTCGGTCTCACCGATGTAGAGGAGACCACGTTGGGAGCAACGGATACAGTAGACCAGGTTGGAGGATGTACAGGTGTGAACCCCTGTCGGAGAATAGAAAGTTTGTTTGGGCCTTGGATGGAGGTGAGAAGGGAGGTCTAGCATCTCCTGCAGTTGCAGGGAAAGGTGCCGGGTGTGGCAGGGTTGGTGGGGAGTGTGGAATGGACAAGGGAGTCGCGGAGAGAGCAGTGCCTACGAAAGGCAGATGGGGTGGGGAGGGAAATATTTCTTTGGTGGTGGGGTTGAGTTGCAGGTGGTGGAGGATAATACGTTGGATGTGGAGGTTGGTGGGGTGGTATGTGAGGACCGGGGCACTCTGTCGTTATTTTTGTTGGGAGGAGGGGTTTTGAGGCAGAAGTGTGGGAAACGCAAGAGATGCAATTTCAGAGCATTTTGGATCAATGAAGAGAGGATGGGGGTGATGTTGTGGTTCTTGAAGTAGGAGGGCACCTGGGATGTGTGGGAGTGGAATGCTCAATCTTGGGAGCAGATGCGGTGGAGGAATTGGGAGTAAGGGATCGCATTCTTCCATGAAGGTGAGTGAGAGGAGGTGTAGTCCAGGTAGCTGTGCAAGGCGGTAGGTTTGAAACAGATGTCGGTGCTGAGACGGTTACCAGAGATGGAGACGGAGAGGCCCAGGATGGGGAGGGAGATATCGGAGATGGTCCAGGTGAATTTGAGGTTAGGGTGAAAGGTGTTGGTAAACTGTTCAAGCTCCTCATGGGAGTACGAGGCAGCGCCTGAAACAGTCATCACTGTTGTAGAGGAAGAGGGATGATGCCAGCATAACAGTTGAAGAGGGACTTTTCCACATAAAGTGAAGAGGCAGGCATAGGTCGGATCCATATGGCCGCCCATAGCCACGTCCTTAGTCTGTAGGAAGTGGGAGGAGTTAAAGAAAAGGCTGTTTAGGGTAAGGACAAGTTCCAATAGGCGGATTAGGATGTTGGTTGAGGGAGACAGTTAGGGCCTGGGGAGTGAAGAAGAAGCATAGGGCTTTTAGGCCATCTGCGTGGGGGATACAAGTGTACAGGGACTGGATATCCATGGAAAAAGTAAGGTTTTGGGAGCCATGGAATTGAAAGTCTTGGAGGAGGTGGAGAGCATGGGTGGTGTCCTGGATGTAGGTGGGGAGTTCCTGGACCAGGGGGGAGAAAATGGAGTTGAGATAAGTGGAGATAAGTTCAGTGGGGCAGGAGCAGGCAGAGACCATGGGTCGACCAGGGCAGTCGGGTTTGTGGATTTTGGGAAGGAGATAGAAACGGGCGATGTGGGGTTCAGGAACGATGAGGTTGGAGGCTGTGGGTGGGAGTTCTCTTGAGGTGATGAGGTTATTGATGGTCTGGGACATGATGGTCTGGTGATCAGGGGTGGGGTCATGTCAAGGGGGTGGTAGGAGGAGGTATCAGTGACTTGGTGCCAAATCTTAGAAAAGGAATGCAGGCTGAAGATAATGGATGCAAGGTTACAGGGACAGGGAGGATTAACGGGGCTGGAGGAAGTTAGAGAGGGAGGATAATTAGGGCTGGAGGAAGTTACAAAGATAGGGAGGATTATTGGGGCTGGAGGATATAGAGAGAGGGAGGGAATATGGGAAGAGGGAATCATGGAGTTTCGTTGGAGCAGTGTAGGAGGCAGATCATGGAATCCCTACAGTGCAGGAAGAGGCCATTTGGCCCATTGAGTCCTGCCTAACCCTCCAAAGGATACCCTGCGCAGACCCATCCCCCTACCCTATCCCTGTAACCGTGCATTTTCCATGGCTAACCCACCTAGCCTGCACTGGATACTACAGGGCAATTTAGCATGGCCAAAGCTGCACATTTTTGAACTGTGGGAGCAAACCGGAGCACTCGGAGGAAATCCATGCAGGTACGGAGTATGTGCTAACTCCACACAGACAATCGCCCAAGGCTGGAATCGAACCTGGATATCTGACGCTGTGAGCACAGCAGTGCTAACCACTGAACCGCCGTGCCACCTGACGATAGAGTGGGGGTTTGGGGAGGGGGTGCTGCAGGATGGTTTGTGGGTATGTCGCAGTAGGAACAGAGGATGGATATTCTAACAGGCGTTCCTTTTGCTTGCAGTTTGTTTGATAACCCGCAGGAACGCTACGATAAGCTGAGACCCAGCGTGACACGGTTCACGGTGTCACAGATTGGTAAGTGATGCCGAAAGGAATTTAAAACAAGTACAACAATAAAGAGGGAACAGGACACATTCAAAAAATAGGATCAGTTGCTGGGTCCTGGAGGGGATAGAATGAGAGCTGCACCATGGGGAGGGAGTGTGGATTTCCAGAGCCAGCAGGGGTTCTGATGGGACAGAAGGCCTCCTCCTGGACCCTGGCGAAGCAGAACGAATGGTCAGAATAGCGAGCAGTGTGTGCTGCCTTGAAGGCAGTGGGACAGCAGGCAGTGACTGAATAGGCAGGAGCTTAGGCCCCCCAGAGAGGAGGACGCTATCCTGGTCGAGGCCTTCCAAATCATGAACGTTGTTTCCACCTGTAGGCGTAGATTAAATGTGGGCAAGGCCAGAATTAGGGGGCCGCTCATACAAGACGACCGCTCATTGAATCAAATGGGAATAGATACAGCTTTAAACCAAGAAGACGGTGTGAAAATCTGTTTGCAATTGTAAGAAAAAGTTACTGGAATACATTGTGAGTTGTTTGTACAATGTTGCCTTAGTGGAGCAGTTGGGGGGCAGTGCTAGACTCATCATGTTGTGTGGATTCAGGAGACCTCAGCGTAGCAACAATTTCTTGGTTGGCTCCTGGGCAAGGGCATCATTCAAGGGAAGCCTCAGGCCTGCCAAGAGACAGCAGCTAAATCTGAGTCTCTCTCTCTCTCTCTCTCTCACTTTCTCCCTGTCTCTGTCTTCCTGTCTCTCCCTCCCTGCTTCCTGAGACTATCCCAGGGAACAATAGGCCTTGATTTCCATTGCACTAGCCCAGTGAGTCGAGACAGCCCAGAGACTAAGAACAATGTGAACCGTGCTCTCTCAAGGTGTGGTTGAGGTGAAGATGATCGATTCAGTTCAGGGGAATCTCTGCAAACAGCAGAGGGTGAAAGGGTCTGATGGCCGGATGGGATTAGGCTGGGGACTAGTAGAGAGCAGATGGGCTGAATGGACTGTTTCTGAGCTTGGATTATGAGTTATACGGGGCGCAGAATTCATGGATTTCAGAATATTGGATCAGGATGACATGGCAGGTGTGTTTGATTTTCTTGGCACATTTCAGCTTCAAACAGTTTTCTCTGTCCCTCTCTCTTTATTTAAAGGTCTCTCTTTGTTTACCCAGCAGTCGGATTCAGCCAATGGGTGAGTGGTTTCTTCCAGCTTTCAGCTTCATCAACTGACTTTTCAACTACTGCGACCTCAAATAATCTCCCTGAAACACTACATCCCCTTCCCTGTCTCTGTCACCCCCTACGCCCTTCCCTGTCTCTGTCTCTGTCAC